GTTTTTGTCCTTAAATGCAAACCGAGGATTTGTGAATGAAGCAGGAGAGCGAAGCAGTTCCCCATCAGCTCTGCACCGACCAGAGAAAACTGAGAGGTCTCTTTTTTGTTTTGTAAAGGTGACATCCTACTGTAATCACTGATATACCTCTGTCATTACTTACTACTGGTCTCTTGTGTGACCTTGCTTAGATTTGTGTACGTTATTGTACATTTAATGAAACAAACACGTGCACACTTTTCCCCTTGACGCTACTTTCTACATCATTCTTTTAAGAAATCAGTATTGACGTTGGCTAAAAGCTTGTTTCAGACCTGGGAGCGGTTAATAAGAGTGTGAAGGAGCACATCTGAAGCGCTCAAGTCCAAAAATGTATTTGGTGAAATGATTGCTGTGTTCAGTAACGGTCATAAAAATATAGGAGGTGCCAGTTGTTTCGCATTTCTTAAGGGAAAAATCCACCCATCGGTTTTAGTTATTTTAAAAGAGTTGGATGAATTTCTGTTGCCACACTGGTGGTTTTATCATTCACTAAATGCACATTTTCTTTCTAATCACTGGTACAGATTCCTTGTTGTGTCCGAGCTACGAGGACGGCACTTTTTTAAAGGCTAAAACTGTGTTAGCAGCCACAGGCTGCAAGAAAGAAACTGGAAAAGATCCAGACGTGCAACCTCTGAAGGCAGTGTGCGATCATGTTGTTAAAAATTTGTTTAAAATAAGAAAATGTTTTTATTTTCCTGAGGTTTATACCTGCTGATCTAACAATTTAAACTACTGGTCCAAAACGCAGCCCCGGCTGACTCGGCTCCCTCGGCGACTACAGAGATCTTTAATGTGAAACTGTATTAAAACTGGCGTTCAAGCACAACTCCACAAGTATTATGATGTGTAGACTTCCACAGCCCAAATGTTTTGAAGGGTTTGACTACAAACTTGTGCTCTGTGCTGTTTTAAAAAAAAAAAAAAGCTGCAAGGAATCCATTTAATTCTTGCTCGATAAGAGGATATGATATATGAGGAAGTGTTGGGTCTAATTTGATTAGAAAGCTGTGCTTTTTGTTTCAGTAATGAAGGACTTTGATTATTAGTTTGATTGTTCTGAAAGCTTTTTAAAAGGTGGAAGCTGTTCATTTTGCCTTTTGTTTTTAAAAAGAGATTTATGTAAATAAAATCATCTTTGATATTGCATCTGGACTGATGACGCCTTTAAGTGACTTCTTCATAAACACATTAGAGCATAATCTTCTTTTATTATTATTATTATTATTATTATTATTATTATATTTTTATTGAAAAAAGGACTTGTTACAATAAAGTGCATTGATATTATTTAGTTGAAAAAAAAAAGACTTTCTTATTCCTTTTGTTTTACATTCAGGTAACAAAAAGTG